CCAACCGGTCACTTGCTCGCCTTCCTGTTGTGGGATGGGGGAAAAAATTGAAAGTGAGAAGAAAAAAAAAAAGGGGGGGGTTAAAAATAAAAAAATAAAGGAGGTTAATAGAGAAGGAAGAAAAAAAAAGCAGTACAGAAACAGTCACTTGCCCCCAGCAGAGAGATGTCTGGTCAGTCTCCAAGAAATGGCTGCCTTGGAGAAACTCTCCCCTTGTTTTATTGCTGAGCGTGATGTTACATGGTACGAAATACTGTTTTGGTCAGTTTGGGTCAACTGACCCAGCTGTGTCCCCTCCCAGCCTCTTGCCCACCTCCACCCTATTTACTAGGGCAGCGGAGTGAGAAACAGAGAACATCTTGACACTGTACAATCACTGTTTAGCAACAGCTAAAACACTGGTGCATTATCAGCACTTTTTTGATCACAAATCTAAAACACAGCATCATATGGACTGCTGTCCATTAACTCCATCCCAGCCATGACCAGTACAATCTTCAACTGTCTATGTTTTCTTTTATACTGCAAAAGTGAGTCAGGAAAACGTACAGGAAAAAGTTCAGTTATTCTCTAGTATTTTCACAAGTAAATGTGAGAAGTGCAAAATCAGGTTCCCTTGTCAAGTTTCTCAGTTACTGTCAGTGTCACGGTTGTCTTTGTCTTGCTTTGCTTTTGTTCTGGCAGAACTGTGTGGGTCCCCTGATGAACATCCTGAAGGAGCACATTGTCGTTATGGAGAAGGATCACCTCATCTCCCATCAGTCTGAGCTGACAGCATTTTTCATGACAGCCCTGGACTTCCGCACAGAGCATGCCCAGGTAGCGTGTTTAGGGCAACAAACAGGCGGCTCAACTTCTCATGCTAATTCTATCAGTTATTTTTTGGGTATCAAATATTCTGTCCTGAAATTGTTCAAGGGGGTAGAAAATATTATGGTTAGGTACTTAGCCTGAAACAGAGAGAACTAAAACTTGCTTTGGAAGCTCAGATTCTTACATTTCAAATTTAGAATCACGTTTTTTAATTTTTACAGGATGATTTGGAGGAAGTTGGTAAGACAGAGACATACATTATTGACTGTCTAATAAGTATGGTTATGAAACTTTCTGAGGCTTCCTTCAGACCCCTCTTCTTCAAGGTAAGAAATTTAATGGTAATTCATCTGCATCAGCATCTTTGTATTCTCCAGTGCGCACACACAGGAACGAGCTAATTTGCATTTCACTTTCAGCTCTTTGATTGGTCCAAAACAGAGAGTACCCTAAAAGATAGGCTCCTGACATTCCATCGGTTAGCAGACTGCATTGCAGACAAGCTCAAGGGTCTCTTCACCCTGTTTGCTGGTCACTTAGTGAAGCCATTTGCTGAGACACTGAACCAGCTCAACGTTTCAAAAACTGGTAAGTTTTAAGTTACTAACTACAGAGAAGCGTTGACAGGCTAATTACAACTGCTGAAAGTTTCATCTTACTGCAATGTATTTCACAGCACATACCCCTCACTGCTCTCTCTCTTCTTTCTCTCATAAATAAGACATCTTTCTTATTCTGATGGAACCAAGGGATAATTTCCATCCATAGGCTCTGGACTGCCAGTACAAAGCTGAGACCACATGAAAACTTCCAGTGTCAGTCCTTGTGAGTTCCATGAGACTGAAATTGTGTGGAAAGAAGGTGACTTGCTTCTGGCAGTTGCCTGTCCTTACATATTTTTTTCATTCACTGACTTACCTTATGTGCCAACCTACTACTACCTGATGCAGTTCAGACTCTGCTTTCTTGGCAAAAACAGATACTGCTTCTTTTGTATGGGAACTACTTCCCTATTGTATTTGTAGTGAGCTGCACAAATTCTTCATAGCCACAGGGATAGCCGTAAACTTTCTGATAGCCTGTGACTATTCCCTTTTATCCCCAGCTGATGGTGAATTGCAGCAGCGTACCGGCTAGGGCATTAGCTAAAAGTCAGATAACATACAGCATCTACTTTATTACTCTGACTGATAACTACATAATTGATGTGCAGTACATCCCTCAGCTGTATTGACAACTAACAGCATTTCTAGCTTGTAGAGAAGTTGAGTATTTCCCATTTTTGTAAACTTTGTGTTTTCCCTCCTGTATTGATATGTAGATGAAGCTTTCTTTGATTCTGAGAACAGCACCGAAAAGAGCTGCTTACTGTTGCAGTTTACCATGGACTGTCTGCATAAGCTCTTCCTGTATGACACCCAGAAGTTCCTGAGTAAGGAAAGAGCAGAAACCTTGATGATGCCTCTGGTTGATCAGGTATTGACAAACATAGAAAAGTAATTCATATCAAATATTTTTTCCATATGAGGATTTCTTTTAAAACTATCAATCCTCTCTTTTCCCAGAAAGGGGAGAATTAATTCATTCTTTCAGCTACAGACAGTATTAACTGCTTCACCTGACACTTTAGTTTACTAATTCTTTTATCATCTTTCTAAACTTCTTTACTCCACAAGGTTCATGCACATTACTCAACTTGTGCAGACCACTGCCCTCCCACTAATGCTCTTTGACCCATCTCCTGAGTACCTGAAAGCCTATGCTAGAAGCAGCATTTTTGGCTGGGTTTATCTGATCCTGGATCTGTCTGACAAGCATTTTGTTTCCACAGCTAGAAAATATGCTTGGAGGAGATGAGAAGTTCCAGGAAAGAGTGACAGCACACCTAGTACCCTGCCTAGCGCAGTTTTCAGTGGCAATGGCAGATGATTCTCTTTGGAAACCACTGAACTACCACATCCTGTTGAAAATGAGGCATACCTCTTCTAAGGTTGGGAGTTAATACAATCTGAACTGTTTTTTCTTTGTTGCATTAGAAAATGTTAAGTATCCCAAAAACAGAAGTGGATTAGCCAACTCACTGTTAAAATACTAGCTTCTAAAGTTAGGCTACTAGACCACTGATGTTTTACTACTCTACCACCAAGTTCCTGAGATGCATCAGTCTGCTTTTCCTCTAAGCCATTAATTTTCTACAAGTAGATGTCTTCCATACTGTTGATGTTATTTTTGTGTTTGTTTTAGATTTGGTAGCTGTTTGAATAAGAGCTAACCTGCTTGTAGGTAAAGAAAAGGGTGGTTTAGAAAGTGTAAGATAGTTACTTATCAACCTTCAGACCTGTTTAATGTATAGAGCTTTGTCATGACCTATTTGACTGGTTACAAGTATTCAGGGGGGAGTATATTTTTAAAGTAACTTAATATCTGGATTAAGGTAGAGTAAAATATAAAAAAAAAAAAGTTAGTTGCAAGAAGCAGGTTATGTTGCTAGCAGTTAGCTGATAGAACAGTCTTTAAATTCCCTTTCCAATGCCACTCTGTTCCACTGTTTCAGCAGGACTTAACCCAGTACAAGTAAAAAAAAAAAAAAAAAAAAAAAAAAACTCCCCCTGAACACTTTGCTTCAGTAAGGAAAGCTAGTTTAAAAGTTACGCGTGTTTTAGGAGATAGAAAGAAGTTTGGGACATTTGACTGTTTCCTTACACAGACTCTTTTGTTTTTCTTCTTTTGTTTTAGGTCCGCTTTGCAGCTCTGCTTGCTTTGCTAGAAGTTGCAGAGAAACTCAAGGAGAACTACCTGGTCCTGCTACCAGAATCTATTCCATTCTTAGCTGAGCTTATGGAAGGTAATACTCTAAAATGGTCTTAGTGAAGGCAGACAAATGCCTATAAGCTAAAAGAACAAAGGCCACATAATTCAAAGATTCAGACAATATAATTGCTATAAATAATAAGAATTCATATATGATATCTTCAGCTGTGCAGGATGGAAACTGAAATGGGTTGTATCCAAAACCCTCCTAATGTTCACCTAAATGACGGTAGCTTCTTTACTGTTCCATCCTGTGCGCACCCTCCCAGGCTGCATATTTTAGATCAGTGGTACAGTATAAATAACTTGTGTAAGTCCTGAGTTGATGACAAAGGATTTTTGAACAGTAATTTCATACCTGGCATTTGAGGACAGTTCCAGCCTTGAGGATATCTTTGTAATAACTATTTATTTAGTTCCTTCTTTGTTTCTTTTTCTAGATGAATGTGAAGAAGTTGAACAACAGTGTCAGAAAACAATTCAGCAACTGGAAGTCATTTTGGGAGAACCACTCCAAAGCTACTTCTAAGTTTATCCCCTTTGTACTCATATGTTGTCTGAATTGTTTTAACTACATCCATGCCATGCATTACAGGCAAATTGTCATACTAATTTTTATCAGATTTAAGATCTTAATTTTTTTTATTAAAAATATTGTGTAAATCTGGCTTTATCATTTCTGGATCGGCTGGAAACTGGGGTTCATTTTACACCATCACTTGATGGCATAAAACTTTCCTTAACTTGCTTTTCTCTGAACAATACAAATGAAGCGAGCTAAACTCAAGTTCTGATAGCTGAGCACAGAGTGACAACATGAAAGACTGCCCACTAACCCTGCTGTGCTGGGTTTCTGCATTTCCTGTCTTAGTATAGAGGGTGTGCTGCTACAATATAAACGTGATACTTACTGGATGCATGCACAGCAATCCTGAGAATGTGTTTTTCTGTTATTTTTATGCACGTGAGAAATGAAGTCATTAAAGATTCTGAAAAGGAAGTAGCTACAAGACAGTCTTGAAAGAAGACAACTATATTCAGGTCAAACAATAACAATGTCCACATGAGAACACCTTGCTCAGCTTTTAGGTAAAGGCAAGGATGCCCAGGTGGCGAAATTGCCATAACGAAGTAGGAGCTGCCTCCAGGCTCCTCTGTTAAAAAGAATCAGCCAACTGCATTTATCGTTAGGGGATATGCACAGCACAACAGCGGCCTGAAGGCACCGCCAAGGCCTAGGCCTACCTGGCTTAACTGCAGTTCGCTAACTCCTTAATGGAGAAATGGTCCTCTAATCAGGTTCACCTTGGAGATACTATTCTGCAAGTACGATGAGACAAAATAGGCCAAAAAAAAGCAACTTAGCTACACTTAGAGAAAAGCATGGTTCATAAACATGTTTATTTATGCTTTTTATATGTTTAACATGGTAGTTAAACAGGCTTTTAGGGTACATCTTATCCTTGAAACTGCTTTGCTCTTTTAGCAGCTGTTAAGGTAAATCGGAACAGCCCTTGGGCATGTAGTAACAGCCAGTAGCAACTTATTTTTAAAAAAATAAGAGTACATAAAAATTAAGACTGACAGTTGTAAAGAAAACTGGTGGAATACAAATGACTTTTTTCAAATAGCATTTGAATACAAGACCAAAAAACAACTCATTCACTATTCTACTGACCAGAAGCCAAGTCTCAGCTCAGCTGAAACCATGCCTGGAATACCTGGGTTCACATGTTTTAAAACGGAAGCTAGACACATCTGCTTCAGTCCCTGAGCAATCTCATCACAGCTGGGAGCCAGTTCAGATCAAATAAACTTTCAAAAGTTCTCCCAATCAGAACTAGCTAAATCACTTCCATTTGTTTTACTTTGGAGAACTAAAAGCTAGAAATACTGCCAAATGTTTGATTTAAGCCATCTATAAGCAGGAGTTGACATAACTGTGAGTGTCACAGAAGGTATGACTGCAGCAGCAGCCTAAGTAGAATCAATTTCCTCCTTGCCTCTCATGAGAACTGATGGCTCAACTGTCTGCTTAATCCAGCCCTGTTAAAAAGGTTGTTATCGCTAATATAAATTAAGAAGCAGAACAGAGTACTTCATAATTCTATTTTCTATGACTGATCAATATCCCTTTAGGGGTGGATAATCATATCTTCATATCCTACTTCACTCTAGTTTCTACTTTACTGAATGTATATTATTAAGGAATGACTAGTAGTAGTTAATCATACTGAGCACAATTGTTAAGACAGTATGATGCAGTATTTTCATATTGCTAGGTTCAGTAATACATGTGATTTATCTGAGCACACTGATTTAGCTTGCCAGGATACTGTAAACTATTGGAGGAGTTAGTTAATCTCACAGCAGCTCTGGTACTCACCCAACTCAAGAGAGGCTGATACAGAAGCCCACATAGATAAAGGCAGGCTCAGCACAAGTCAGCACCAGTTTGTACTTGACAGAAAAGGTGTCACTGGAATATATTTAATCCTTTTAGTACTAATTAGAACTACCAGCTCCTCACATCTAACAATTGAACATCTCCTGTGACTTCCAGCAGGTCGATCTTTTCCAGTTGTTTAAAACGATGCTTGTATTCCAGAATGTGAACACCATTAACAGCAACTTTGAACTGGTGGGCATCACAGAATATGATCAGCTGAAAAAAGAGAAGAGGAACAGTTAAGTTCCTAGCTTGAACTTGGGTGAGCCCTGCTTCTGTTACAAAAAGTCCTTCGTTCAAAAGGAGCATTTTAAAAAAACGTGTAACTTCATCCTACGCTGAAATCTTGCAACTACTTATAAGAAAACAGGAATAGACGGCTGTCATTAAAACCAAGTCAGATCTTTGCTTCCTATGGTTCTATTTAACCCTAACATTCTCAAAACGTGGATATGCAAGAACAGCACTCAAACAGTATTAGCAGCATAACATTTAAGTGCTAACACAAACTCTTATTTTGGCAGAATTCTAAGTCTGATGCTATGTTTCAGTTAATCTTACCTCAAAGTACATCCCTGGACTGAAAGGGAAATTGGTAACTTCCTTTTCTTCTTCTCCCCAGCTGTCACAAAGGTAAGAGTTTCTCACAAAAACTTTATTCTTCATTCGGGGATTCAGATGTAGTGCTATGTCCTTTGACTCACTTGATTTCAGATTTATTGCAAAGCTGGAAGATATTTTTTAAAACTTTACTACTCCAACAGTTTATAAACATGATCAAGTATTCCGTGCTATTTACCAAGACTTTAGCCAATTGTGGTTGCAAGCCATGCACAATGGAAATCCAGAACAGACATGCAACCTTGTGAAGGATGCAGATTAAGCAGGAAAGACAATCAGGTTTTATCTCGATTTTTCTCAGTGGAGCTGTTCAAAAGAACAGCCCTTTCTAAAACAGCATCCTGCAGGTTCCTAAGAAAACCACACTAGTTTCAGATGATTCCAGATGCTAAGTTGCGAGTAAGGATACACTGAGGCAATGGAAAAGCCTACAAATTCTCAAAAGCAGCTCAGTTAATAGGAAAATAAAACAAAACAAAATAAAAAAATCACTAACATTTACCTCTTTGGGTTTTTATTCATTTCTCCTTTAATAGCAATGGTGCATCCCGGACGAAGTGCAGAATCAAGTTTCCCAATGTAAGGAACACCCTAGAAGTTCATCAGCAGTGAAAAACTTGACTGTGATTTACTTTTTTCAACATACAAGCTGAGCTTTATTATGGCAAGAAGAAATTTGGCCTACAGTTTCCAGTTTGCACTCACAGCTCAGCTTTTTTCTACCAATACAATCTGGGATAGTGAATCTGGGTGACAGTGAATCCCAATACAATCTGGGATACAGTTTCAACTGTAGTGAAAAAGTTATATGGAGATGAGCGTATCAATGTCATTTTTAATTTTTTTTTTTAACTAGAAACTTGGGTTCAAAATAAGCAGTATTTACTGCTATTTCTGCCACTATACATGCCTTAATCCAGAGTCATGCCACTTGTAAGCACCAAAAAAGTGTCTTGAGGAAACCTAAGCTTGATCTGGCACCAGACACTCCACTGTACAACTTAATGCATTTGAGAGTTGCCAACTGGTTTGAGTAAATGTATTATAAGCAGCATGAAACTCTGCACTGATTTAAATTTGCATCACACAGTCGTTCAGGTACAGACACACTGACCTCTCCTCTCCGATAGCTTGTTATGCTTTAAAAAATAAGATTCACACTAGATGAAGTACACGCAGTGTAAGCATGGCTCCATCACCACAAGGAAGATATGGCCAGACAAGTTCTAAGATACACCCATTAACATAAGGCCACCTGGCTTAATACAACTGCAGAATGCTTTTAACACAAGCTTGTTTTGCAGGTAAAGTCATGAAAACTAAGCGTGCTTATTTGAACAAATAAGCATCACAGCTTATTTTGATGTGATTTGGTCCTTTAAAGCTTCAGGTACCCCACTTTTTATTCCTCTGTTCATGGCTGTGGATGCCGTGTTTATCTCTTTGGGTTTTCTGTATCCCTTAACAAATAGCCTCATGTTTACTAGCAGCAGGAAAGAGGATTGATCTCTGTAAAACCTCACTGCTGATCATTTCCCAGTAGATTCTCAAGTCCTATGTACTGTGCATATTTTTTCCTCAATAACAGAAGTTTTTATTTCTTTTTTTTTTCCACATTTGCTGTAAGTCTACCTGAGATACTTACAAATTGTGAACCATCTGGCATCTCCCCCTAGAAAAGAAAACAAACATAATTAACTAGTTTTTCAGACAACCGGGAGACTCAGTCTTCTACAAACATACGTACATTTTCTGTGCTTATCTTTGTTATTCCTAGAGATGATGGCTGTGAGCCTTGTACAGACTGCAGAAAAAGAGATATTTAGAGATATAAAGAGATATTTAGATGTCATTGCTAGCACCACAGAACATAAAGGTGTGTTAGAAACGTAACAGATCTGTGCTGCTTTGAAGTGTAAATTGTTAACATGGAAACCTAGGGCTATGGTGAAGAAAAAGACAGCCAAACCCCTACAAACCGAGGAAAAGTCCTGAAAATCAATTGCTGAAAGACAAATTGAGTTTTCCAAACACTACCTCATTACAGTTTGAATCTTTATCTTACAGTTGGAGCACTCTTAACCCTTAGCATCTGAGGATATCCACTCAGCTTTCCTCACCAGGGTAAGAGCATCAGCAGGGCAGGTCACCCAGAGATGGGGCAGAGGGGGAGCTTAGGATTCTAGGCAGCCGCCTGCATCCCTGTCCCTTCCTGCTGTGTATCGTATGAACAACATGGCCATGCGCAGATAAAATTCCTGCCTCGCTCTGGCAGACTGTATCTTCATCTTGTTTATTTCAATATAACCTCCCTCTTCCTCCTCAGATAACCTCCCTCTTCCTCCTCAGAAGAGTACACACTGGAAGTAAAGACAAAAAAAGAAACAACCACCCTACTCCCCTCCTTTCTTCCCCAGAGGATTCAGCATCTGCAACCAGAGACTAAAGCAAGTCTCCTTTGTTTTGTGTTTGGGACAGAAAACAACCTATGGCACCTCCTTGCCCCCAAGCAATTCCTGAAGTCAGTCCTCCACAACAGGACTCAGATAGCTTTGAAGCACCATTCCTGCAGCAACATATCCAAGGCCAAGTGACAGGGCCCATAAAAAGTCTGTACACATGCTTTACAAACAATCAGTGAGTAGACACATCTTTAAAGCTTGGACCCTATTTAGTCCAGGCCCAGATCTCCACCTTCCTTCAAAACAGTTTATTAGTCTGCTGCTCTGAGTCCAACCTGATGTTTAGCAGCAGGAGACCCGAGCTTTGCCCACAGCGTAGTGATGACTGAGCAGAGGAGACAGAATATAGTACAGAAGCAGGTAGGCTGCCTCAGTGACTGGCAGGAAGGAAGAAGAGTCAAGGGACAAGAGAAGGGACAAGTCATTTGCGTTCTGTACCTCCCTGGTTATTTACCACCTTTCATTTCTGCTCTCTCACCCTTTCACATCAGAAGGCTCTCACCCTCTGCATGGGGAGAAAACAAACTGTTCAATTCCTCTCTATTGGTTTACTTTCTCCAGCAGAGCTAGGAGCTGAGAGGAAGGAGTGGGAAGGAAGTGTCTTGTTACCGAAGTTAGACTGTGTAGATGCCTTTTTTTTTTTAATTGTAGTTTAGCAAGACAAAGAAATGGAATCTTGACAGCCAGCTGTCTATAAAACTTACGTTAGAAACAAACTCTATACTTTTGATGTGCACTTTGCCATATATTCCCAGAGTATCTATTCTTTGAAGGCTAATTCTGTGGTTGTAGAGCAGCAAGTGCTTCTTGTTTACAGTCACCTAAAGAGACGGAAAAAAATAGGAAAATGACATTAAACACCATCCATGTATCAAACTGTATGCATGCAGCTGGTTTACGGTGCTTTGTTACAGGAGCTGGGAATGTCCTGGAAACTTCAGAGCAACTAAGTTCAGATCATCTACATGTATGAATCAGCTTCTTTCCATTACTGTGAGGGAGATGTATTTGATTTATTTACCTTTCACACCCTTTTTTTTTATTATTCTCTGACCGCTTATGAATGTGGTTTTACCAACCTAACAGAATCTGTTATTGCAGTCTAACAGAGCAAGAGAAGTACATCGCACTTGTTTCCTCCAAGAGGGAGGAAATACTGTCCTACACTACTCACAAAACAGGTTTACTGTTACGGTCAGCCCTTGCAGTTAAGAATGGGAAGGTGGAATAGCCATAAGCTGTGCCAGACAGTTACTTGTCTACTCATGCAGCTTTGAAGGGAACCATACAAAATGAGAGGTCTGATCTTCTTATCACCTATTTAAAAAAGCTTGTAATCTTTTGTGTAATCAGACTGTACCAACCAAACAGAAACTACGACTTCCAATTATACTGTATGTATGCAAAATGCCTCACATTTATTGGTCTGACAACTGGCCAATAAGGCCCCTTGAGTTGAACAACGCAAACTCACCTGGAATTTATCCTTTAAAATCATGATGGCAACCTCAAATGACTTCCCTTTTTCAAAAGGCATCTCATAGGTGATCTCTTCCCAGCCCCATTTTTCCCTCTCCAGTGTGTTGCAAACAATGCAGCCAGACCTTTTGAAGCGAGGGTTGAAATGAAAGGCCACATCAGCTCGAGGCTTTATACTACTGCCACACTGTAAATCCACCTGGAACCTAAACATAAAAAATAAGACAAACCACACTCAGCTCAGTCTGTCAAGAAATGACCTACAAGTTCAATACACTTGTGTTTTACTGCTGAACCCCAGAGCATGCAGATGGAATGAGCTATTGGATAAGGAAAAAAATATATTCATCCAACTTCTGTGTATTTATGAAAAGTTTTCACAATTTGCAATGAATTACAGTATTTACTCAATGCTTATCAATCATATCACTTGAGCTCCTCACTTACTACCTTCACCACCTTCCCTCCCATCTTCTTCAGCACAATAACTGAATGCACCTTGGGCCACATCAGGAAGTCAGGGAACAGAACCTAGATACTTGGTATGAGCACTAGTTCACACCTCCTCACCCCAGGTGTAAGCTAATTCCTTCAAGTGAGACATTTAGTTATCACTTTTGTTAGTCTCAGGTAACCTCCTCAGATAAACAGATATATGCTATGACAAGGAAAAAATGCCAAAGCAGGCAAAGCAAAAACAGAGGAAAGAGGATCAGCAGAAAGCAAAAATCAGTTTATCCTCCAGTGTTCATCGCAGAACTTTCATTAATCACTTAATTCGCTGTATTCACTGTGACACAATCACAAGGATTTAAGTGAAGCCTTTGTTTACTATCCCAAATAGGTTCCCTAGAAACAGTTTGTTCATTACATGCTTGTTCACCTGGTGACATTTCAAGAAGTGATACTGTAGTCACTACCTGTCTGCATCATCAGGAACGCTCCCATGTATCACAATCAGCTCTCCAGGTACGAGGCCACCAAGAATTGTCCCAACATACGGAATGACCTAGAAGAAGGAAAAAAAAGATAGAAATAACATTTTGTGATGGAGGCAAAATATATAGCTTTTAAAATCATATTCTAATATTCAATTAAGTGGTGCGCTAGCATATTAAAAGAAAGACAACTAGCACCTCATTTAAAAGAAACGCTAGAAATGCATTAAATACCTGCCACAACAGAAAGATAAAAAACAGATTTTCATCATTGCAGACCAAGCTTCTCAGATAAAATTAAAATAAATAGTTACAGCCTTCATTCTAGCTCTAAAAAGAATAATGACAATATTTTATTGCCTCACTTTTAATAAGAGGAGATTCACTTCAAACCAGGCCATTGCCAAGTGAATGACAACAGTCAGCCCTTTGCTGGTAGCCGGAGGAACCTTCCACTAGATTTTAACACCAAACTAGAGCAGCCATCTTTTTGCTCGTTCTTACTCCCTTGTGAAAAACAGCGATGGGAAAAAAAAAAAAAAAAAAAAAAAACAAAAAAAAGCAACTATGGCAGAGAGCAGAGTTGCATCTGAATACGAACAGCACAACATACACTACAAAATATCCTAATGAGCTGGGAACAGCAAGGTGCACTGAACTAGCTCTGCTCAGGGGTCATAGTCTTTAGGATACCAGCAGCACACAGTCTATCTCAAAGCCTACCCTATTTCCTCATCCTTATCAATAGCTTGGGAAGGTCACACGTGTACATTATGCTGAACTGAAATGGCAACATGGTAGTAGTTGTTAAACCAGTTATGGGGACACGTCAGCTAAAATAAAAGCCTCAAACACCCCAAAATGGCTCCACAGCGAAGGTTTAGACATGCTGACGGGAGCCCTACCTTGACCACCAGCTGGAGCACCCAGAATTTATGGGAGGAAAGGGAGCACCATAACAGAAAACCGTGGAAGATGACAGACTTTTCTGAGAGGAAAGCTCTAAGACTGCATTCTTTCCATCCAAAAGGACGCATTTAATAGAAAAGAATGTTGACCACCCATTCTTGAGAAGCTCAGACATGGAATCTGCATGGCCATAATAGAGCAGTTCCTGGGTGTAATACTACAGGCTTAACGAGGTTCTGTCATCATAGGACATGCCTGTCATTTCTTCATGTTTCAAGATTCTTGCCATTTTTTCCTCACCCGTTAAGAGCAATGCCTGCAATACCACAGGATCTATCATCATCCCAGCGTTCTTACAAACCTCCCGAAGTTTCCTTTGAAGCCAACTGGACAACATCAACACAGTTTGGGATGTCTCAAAGATCAAGTTGCTTCCAAAATCTGCCAGTTTTCATAAGTGAGACAACAGATTACAGAGAAGAGGGCTGTGATAACACAACTTTCATCCACCTCGCTGGGTAGCTGACAGTTGTCCCATCAGACAGGGCATCACATTTCTTGCCAGATGGATTTGTGGAATAATTGCTGGAGGTGACATGTTGAGACTGTGTGTCCACATCCTAAGAGAAGGTTCAGCACTGAGGAAAATTCCAGGGTGGGGTGCAGCAGATATGCGAAGAATCTGTTCCATGATGCTCCCCCTGGCAACACAGCCTGCAACCTTAGGCATTGGCAATGCCAGGGGAGCTTGGCGTGCTGACTCTGAGAGAAACAGCAAGGAGGCTGAAGTGGAGTGAAGAAAGACACCATGGCCAGGCTCTCTGCTGTCACCACAGGGAGGGGGAACTGGATGGTACAATGGAACTGACAGATTGCACAGCCAACCCTGAGCTGAACTGATAACCAAATCACGTCCTCTGGGTGACCTTTGCTCATTATAATCCTATTATAGTGCCAAAACACACTTCCATCCCAAAGGTTACCTGCCTCCAAGGTGCAACCACCTCTCACTAAGCATATGCTCTGAATTTCCCTAAGACTATAACATTAAAGCAAAAGAGAAAATTTTATACCAATCACAACGTAGACACATGTGACTAGTGTCACTCAAGCTCCACCTACAAGTAAGAAAATGGCATAAAAATGGCTTGAGAGGAACAATGTTAGGGAAGACAGCATCACAGACAAGTCAGGAGGACATCGCTGACCTCTGGGATCAGTTGATGGGCTGAACCTCTCTTCCCCACCCCACAGGGATGCCTAGTTGGTAATACCCTCAGTTATACCCAGTGCTTCCCCAGATAACCTAACACTCTCTATGGAGTTGTTTCACAAGTTACCTTATATGTAGTTGGTTGCGTTACTCACATCCTTGGTATTTGCATGTGCTTTGCAAACTGTGTATTTATCACCTGCAATCCAAAAGAACCTGTACTCCTGTTGCTTCAATAAATGCCACCAGTCATTAATCTACCAGACTGAAGGTGTAACGTGCTATTTTGGCATCCATGATCATGGTAATTCAGCATACTGAATGTCACCAGGCTTATAGTGCTGAATTGGGCATCACTCAGAATCTAAGCCCAGCCATCCCCAGCCCCTCTGATATCTGAGTGCAAGCTGGAATGTGAAGGGGTTTAGGTCCTGTCAAACTTCTTTACTTGTTAATGCAACAGGGTTGAGTAAAAGGCATAAAGGGGAAAGCAGGATTTTCTGGATGATTCAAAACAGTCCATTAGTGAAGAAATACGCCTAAGATAAGAATCCATTAAAAAAGCTCTTCAGTTTTGCAACTTAAGGAATGATTTGTTCAAACAGTGAAATAGTCACAGCGCTACTAAGCGCATCTGGTGGCTTCACACAGGTACACATTCAGCCAAACAGCACGTCTGAAGCTAGAGCTCAGTGAGCATCACACATGCAACAGCTCACGCAGTCCATCAGTGACAGAACCAGCCAGTTAAAGAGACTTTGTACAAACAGCAAAGTAGTATGACCCATATATATGAAGAACAGACAATTAGGTCCTGTTTCAAGTTTGCTGTTATGGGCACAGTCCATTTTGTTGATCTCCCCGCTTGCACTACAAACCCCTTCCCACTTCTTTCCCTTCAGCTTGTTCAGAAGAAGCAGAGGAGGTTTGGAGACACCTTGGTGTCTCTAGCTCAACGCCTTCCTCAAAGCAAGGTCAGCTAGAGAGGGCTGCTCAGGACCTTGCCCAAAGGCTGTCTGGAGATCATCTGCACAATCTGTCCCACCTCTGTCTCCACATTCCAATCCCAAATGATCACTCTTATTTCCATCCTAGGCTCTTGACCACTAAGCCCTAGTTTTATCCCTCTGAATTCTCCAGCCTGGTCTTGTTACCCACTACACTCATCAGTCCCCTTGCAGGCATCCAGTTCTGATGAAGTCTTCCTCTTTTCCTTACACTTAGAATTTCACCTATACACTTCCTAAACCTCCTCTTCACACCTCCTTTCCACCTCCGCCAAAATCCCCATCTGTAACTTCCATCCTCCCCTTGCTTTTGCAATTCAGTCCTTCCAGCTTCTAGTTCATCTCCACACAGCCTTCCTTCCTCTCCAAACTGGATTACCGCTGGACTTGATGATGACCTTTTACAACATAAGTGATTGTGTGATTCTTGTAAGGAAGGCTGAATCTACGCCCCCATCATCCGTTAAGTCTGTCCACTTTGCAAGCAACGAGCAAGCAGCAGGACTGAACAATCAGACACTCTGAGGGCACTGGACTGTATCAATGACAAGCTATAACAGACATGGAAGTTCTGTGCAGGTGTGTGGTACAGTACTCTCCACAGAGATTCTTTGCAGACTTTGGTATTTCTGACAGAACATTAAAATGCTATCTCCTGTAGACTCAAAAGAACTACATTTTTAAAGAGACAGTGAAAAGTATGCTGGCTTGATGCCACTGTCCCAGAGCATGAGAATACTAGAGAAATACGAGAGAATATCAGAGCCGTCCCTGAGGTTCTTCCTCAAATACCTGAGCAACACCAACAGCTCTCAGTAACACACCTCACTGTACAAAAGAGCAGGAGCGTTTGCTAACTACTGGCATAAAACAGCAAAATCCCATTTCCTGAGGGAGAAGTTGTTGACATAGTTGCAGAGTTACCGGGTTAATGATTGTCTTCTGCGGCCCATCCAAGGACATCATCTTCCCTCCTCCAGTTTAAGTCTGTCAGTCCTGCGGCAATCACTGTCAGAGTGTATTTAGAGGTCCGCTGATCTGGCTGCACCAAAGCAGGAATCCCTTTGAAAAGCCAAAACTTTTAATTAGAAAGAAACAAAGTGACACTACAGGAAGTAAAACCCTCCAAGGTATAATGTTAAAATCTATAAAGAAAAATGCAACTGTATTTCCAAGAAATTTGATGGAGTTTCCAAATATCAAAGTTAGAAGCTTTGTTAAAGACAAAACATGCTACCCTAGGAAGGGACAGTGCACATAAATACACGTTTTTATCAGCTGCTTCCTGATCATGTATATTGAGGCAGAACCCCACGTAAATACCATTATTGCACAGGGCAACACTGATAACTCAGTGACCGTCAACTGTCCGTTTGCAGCTGACACCTGCCTGTAGACTGCGAAAAGACACAAAGCACAAACACATTTTCCTGAAGTAAACAGCCATTTCTCTTTCTTTTACCAATTCCTGTGCTATTCCCAGGTTGCTCAAGGGCAACCAGCCCTAGTGGCTGAACTGGCTTTTTCCAGTTTTATCTTACATACAGATAAGAGATACCAGCCAAAGACACAGCAGGGAAGCACAGAGTGTTTTCTGCTTCTTCCTCCAACACACACAATCCCTGAACTCCACAAATAACTACAGAAGTCTACAAAACCTGCATTAAATGCACAGAACTAATAAGGAAAAAAAAAAAAAAAAAAAAAAAAAAACATTTTATGAGTATATCCAGCTACACTGTAATTTCTTCATCAAGTCTTCTAACAAAGTGACCAAAATTCATGGGCCAATTCCAAAACTGCTAGGCAATTATTTCTTGCATATTCTGGAGAAATACCTTATGGTAGCAAGCCAACTGGGTGGTGAAAAGTGGCAGGCAAAAAAAAAAAGACAAAGGAGATGTTTTTAGTATTGTCGTTGTGTGAAAATTGCTAGCCACATAAAAAGTAAATAAAAAGTCTGTGCTCTATTCCACAGAGACCTGGGATGAACCTTCTGCAATGATTCAGCAGCGCAGACCACTGCAACATCTGGCTAATCCTGTGGGAGACTTGGGCCAGTAATTCTCCTTATGATCAGGGTCTAGAGTGCATTTAGGAGAACACAAGGTGTTATACGCCCAGCGTACACCATGCAAATGTTTTTGCACCTTTTGATATGCCCCATGGGATACCATCGTCAATTCACAACAGGAATGTGCCAAGGCAGGCAACTTCCAATACTTTAGTTTTTAAAATTAGGAACTCAGGATCACAATAAGCAAGAATTCTGACTACAGCATTGACAAGTCTAATAGCAGACCAGAGAAACAAAACCCAGACCTACAGTCCTGCGCCCTGCAGCCTGCGTACCAAGCTTCCCCTGGTGCGTGACTGCGATCGGCACCTTACCAAACGAGGGTATGGGACAGGACCATATCTAGGATCTAGCAGCACACGCCTGAGCTCTTCTGCCCACCCTTTTTGCTCCTGGCAGACCAGGGGCACTGTGGCAAAGCAATTTGTTTGTATGTTTTATGGAAAGGGTCGCAGTAATGAGGGGAGTCAGGCTGCGTTTGGCCACGCAGGTTTTGGGTAAGGAAGCACAGGGCTCTGCTGTAACTTTCTGTTGCAGAACCGCTGTCAGCGAACGTGAGGGGGTCTGATTTTTTGGGCTGTCCTTTGGGGATCCAGGAGTTGGACTCGATGGTCCTTGTGGGTCCCTTCCAAGTTGGGTATGCTGTAATGCTATGATGCCAAATTTTAAGTCTGCAACACTAAGATACGGTTCCTCAACTACGTGTTAAGAATCGAAACAGCTGTGTATTACTGCCCTGATACCTCACACGCTGCACAGTTCAGGAAAAGGAAATAAATAAATAAATAAATAAGAAACAGCAAGGGCGGCAGCTTTTACGCTATCGCTCTATGACCCACAGAAAACGCCTTCCTCTAGAGAAGCCCGTGGGGACTTGATAACTGGGGCTGGATCCCGTCCTACAGCAGACATGGCTTCCGGAGGGGAGGGGGGCAAAGAAGCGAGCAGGGCACCGCCGGGCGGCTGCGGGCAGCGAAACCCAACCCAGCCGCGCCCCGCGCCGCCGTCCCCGGGCTGCAGCCCCCGGAGCCGCGGGGCGACCCGCAGCAGCCGCCCCGGCACCCAAACCCCAAACCCCGGCCGCTTCCGCCTCGGGGAGTCCCGGCGAGCCCCGTTCCCACCACCACGGCCGGACAGACGGACAAACAGACGGACAGACGCGGGGGGACCCCCAGCCCTCAGCCCACCCCTGGCGCCCGACTCACCCGGCGCCTAGCAGCGAGCTGACGCCACCGCGCTGCCACCGGCCGCGGCCGCCATTTCGCGCCCGCCCCGCGGAGTCACCGCCCCAACGGCCCGGCCCAACGGCTTTAACGCCTTCCGCCCGCTCCCAGCGCCCGGCCGCGGCGGGGCGGGGGCGGCTGTGAGGGTGGGGGTGAGGAGGGTGCTCGGGCACGACAGCCGTGCCGCGGCACAGCCACCTGCTCGGAGGGCAGCATCGGGCTGTCAAGATATGAAGGACTCGTTCATAAAGGGCTCCTGTAAAAGATGGCTTGGGGAAAGGCGCCTTTCAGTCACACGGGGCTCCGAGGGAAGACCGAGAACCAGTGGCTGTAATGGCTAGCAAAAAGCCTGCTATTAAAGCCTGCTGTTATTACTGTCCAGAACTGACGCCTTACAAGCTGTCTGAAATGTTGTGAATTCACTTCTCCTTCAAGGGCGGAAGGCCATGATATGCTGTAAAAAAAATACAGTAGTAGGCTGATCTTTAAATTAGTATAAACGCCATGAATTTGCTTTGACCTTGCTTACACAACTCTGTTGTGCGTTAACTTTCAACTCTGTCTGACCACACGTCAATAGCGTTACCCTCAGGTACACTACCATAAGGCCCAATTTACATTTTTTCCACTTGCTTACAGCTTGTCTTGCATCTGTGGGAGGCAGTCAGCCCGAGACAGGGAAAAGGTCTCTGGCACTCAGTTCCCAGCCTGCTGCTCAGTAGCACTTCAGGAATAAGCGAGTTTTTGAGTTTCTGTACAAATGCTTCCATGCAGGTGCCCTGTATAGTGGGCTTCTAAAGGACAGCCCCAAACTCGTAAAAGGCAGCTGGATACTGTCAGTCCGATTTTTCAGGGATGCCCCATATATAGTTGGCCTCACAGCAAAACTAAATGCTCCTGGAGCAGAGGACTGTAGCAATGCTGCTGAAGAACAGTCAGTAAGCTCTCTCTTAGATAAAGCTGCAGAAACTAAGGACTATAGTAGTTTGGACATCTTCATGAAGCTAAAATGGGTGGAAAAGTCCACTGATTATCCTGCAGGCACAGAGATGGCAGCCAAAAAATGGCAATCCCTGAAAGAACAGCAGGTCTAACATGGGAATAGAAGAAATATAATGGAACAAAACTGATAGTCTAGCAGAACTTTTACGATGCCCACGTGATTCTCTAACCTTTGTTATCAGATTAATTATTAACTCAGGAAGAGTCCACCCAGTGTAGGTTCTACACCTCTCTGTAGTTCATAACTCTATTACGAGTTTTCTAGATAAATGGCATTGTTCATCGTCTTATCACAATATATTCTTCTTTTTCCCATATGAAAAATAAGTGCATCTTCCTTTCTTCAACAGCACTATCTGCTGCAATCATTGGTGCTCTAAGAAGCTATGGATCTTGCATATGAGATATTCTTATACAGCACAACTAATTGACAATTAGTTGTTCTAAGTAGTAGATAGTTAGTTAAGGCAGTTGTTCTAAGTAGTTCCAAGGTGGCTGGTGAGAAGGAAAACAGCTGTTTTCCTAGCTGCAAGGAATAAAAACAAATACAGTAAAACTGAAGATGGATAATCTATATTTCTTCTAAATACAGTGTACATTAAATCAGAAGATATAAGAATACTTAAATTGAACACTTAGAACCTGGTATCTTGTAAATAGATACAGAACTAAAATAAAAAAATGTGTACACCTCAACTCATGCCATACAAAAAGGAAAAAAATATTTCAAGTATACAAATTAGTAATCCAGTGTGTAATGAAGATTAAGGCTAACATTTTCAACCTTCAGTGCTGAATTTACATGGAAACCACATATGAACTCTCAAAAGCAGCTTTGTTTTTATGACGAATCGTTGGAACTGATATTGATTTTTCAAGAGCTTCAGGGGATAAGAATTCTTTTCCATTAAACAACAGTGTTTCTTCAAAACCTTAAAAATCTTAGCCAGAAAACAGGAAAAGGGGTATTTCAGCAGGACTTTTTGATTCAGAAATGCCACTGCATCGTTTTGTGTTCCCATTGTGAGTCGTCATGTGAGGGCTCCAGCCAGGCTTCTTGCTGGACTGGATTTACCACAGCAAAGCATACTGCACTACCACACACGTACAGCTATGGTGTGTTACAGTAGAGAAAAGCTGTTGGCACACATACCAGCACTCATCACTCAGAAGAACAACTTAACACACAGACACACGATCCTCAATCATGCATGTGGTAGGCCCAAGCTATGGGGATTATGCTGGACAAGCTGCACATGAGCTATTTGCACGTACACAGTGGATGCCTCTGTATGAGCTGAAAATAGCAGAGAGCCCAGCCACAGCAATACCCCTCAAAGCTGATTCCAAAGCCCCTAACTAAAGATAGAAAATGAGATACAAAAGTTTGAGTTCACAGACCTCTATCAGGAAACCTCTGTTCACAGAAGAAGAATGTGAGATATTTGAACTGCAGCTCCTACATGAATGAGCAATACAACTTCCGCCTTAAAGTATGACTAGAAAACTTACTGTTCTGAAGAGCTGCAGCTTTTCTGAGGGAAGATTTTAAAAAGTTGATAAAATTCCAGTCTTCTACAAGGTTTAAAAAATAATAAATAATCAAACCTCAAATTTAGGGCACTTACTTCACTTTGAAACTACACCTTCAGTTTCCTGAACTCATTGCAATAAAGCTAATTCGTATCATCCCCAGCACTAGCGCCTGAAATTGAAAATGTTAGTCTTTACATTTAGCTCTGCTGTAACCACATCCCTCACTATCTACAGTATAATATTAGCATAGGTCCCTTTTCACTCTCTTATAGAAACTCAGAATGCAACCTTACTTAGACTTCCCTTGGCTTTGCTACCAATTCTTAATTGGTCATTTCTACTTGAGAGAAGTAAGCAGTGCATCAACCTGTACCTCCCTCATTCTAGTTTTGCCCAACATCTTGAAACACTGTTCACCATTGCTTTGGTATCTACACCTATGAAAATATTAGTATTGTCTACTTTATACAACCTATGATATAACTGATTTTTCAGGAGTTTGTTTTTTTTTTTTTTAAAAAAAAAAGACATTAGAAAACAGAAGAACAGTAGGAAGACAAAACAGTTTCTAAAAATATTTTGAATGTAAACAGTGTAATTCAGAGTATCAAAATCCCTTGAGATACATCAGTCTAAACCCAGAGTGCTTTAATAACCATCCACATAGGCTGTAGGTGAATCCACCTGTCAATTTCCCACTAGAGTGGCTTTAATCAGTACATAAACTTGTGCTAGTTTCATGCAAGTGTGCAACTACTTTGGTATAGGACAGAAAGTAGGTCAGCCCACAGGAGGACTCTGAAGAACCCACAGTTCAAAAACAGGAAAGTTATATTCAAAACTAAGGATATGCTGTTGGTGAGGCATTTTTCTGTCACCTCACACTGCAAAACGAGAGACATTTGAGACAAACAGATAAGAATACTCGAAGTTTCTTCAAAACTATGAAAACTAATTTTAAATGTCAAATATTTTAATTGTGTTTTGTTTTCTTCTTCTTCTGTGGTTGTTGTTTGTGTTTTTTAATCCCTAAATTTATGGTCTGGAAAGTCTCTCTGAATCGCATTTCTTCATAGCAAATATATGCCCTATAATGTATGAGTATACATTTACTTCAATGTCTAGTCTTGTTCGTAAAAGAGATCCAAAACTTAATTTTACCACCTGAATGTGATGTTCAAACATTGAATTAATTCAAATATGCAAATCCAAACTGCTACTTGGAACACTAAGGTGTTCCTGTGCCAAAAACAGTGTCATAAAGCTTACAAAAAGAGGGGAAAAAAACAACAACAACAAAAAAGAACAAAAAAAGAACAGAAAAAAAAAAACACACCCTCTCATCTTCTAACAGGTAAAACACACAGAAGTTGTGGAAGGACTGCCAGAAAGGCAGACTTGCCTTCTAATTGGGGCTTCCCCAATAGCAACAACACACAACTGACATGGTTTGCAACTGCTGCAGTAAAACCAGTGGTCTAGGTTTTTCATTCTTCTGTTCCTTAGGAAGCATTTGCAGATTCAAGAACACAATCTGCATTATTCCATCCACTTCTGAAAGGTTATCTTTGCAGCCCTGAGGGCACAGACCATACGTATGTGTATACAGTACATAAAGCTTACACGGTATACAAACTGTCCATACAGTTTCTGCCTCTCTCTCACAAGGGAAGCTTCCCATCTACTGGTGGCAGCTAGTCCCAACATTTCACAAGCAGTGACTAAACCTTCTTTGACCTACAAGTCATTCTGGTAATTTCTGTTTCCTCTCTTGGGCCATTCCTCCTCCACCCATTTCAGCAGCACTTTCACAACATCAATTCTCTTATAAAATTTACAGAGCTCAATCAGCTGCTCCACAGTCCTGTCGCTATTCCGTAGCAAGAACTCCAGGGTAGGACTCTGGGGCTTCTGTTCAAGGAAACACAATTCATCATAAGTCATCCCCCACTTGCTTGCTAAGTTTCTCCAGTTTTTCACAGTTGGATGGCAGGGATCCAGCTTTAGTCTCACTGTGTACAACAAGTCCTCATCATTGAGCATGTCGCTGATGGTTGGTGCACGAAATAAGCACAAGGAGCAGGTGCCATTTTCTTTGCAGCTTTTCTTGAGATCTGCAGTTAAAACCATTACATGAAGAGAAGTTAGGATTTGTTGCTGTGGTTTTACCAAGAACAAATGTAAAAGCACAAATGTTTGAAGAGCATTACGTTTCACAGAATCATTTCTGAAAATGTCAGAATAGTGGCATATTAATGCCCTTCCTTATGAAATTAACTTTCTAAAACTTCTCTTGGCTATGTTCATGGGCTATAATCAAAAGGACACTATTTTTGGAAGCATCATATTTATCCTCTTACAGAAAAGATGTGCAGTTCCTTCTAGTGTAAGCTGGGATATTCCATTTTTCTTTTTTGGGAACTACCGTGCATCCTTCAATCTGCCATAACCCCTACATACATCACCAAGAGGAGTATGTGCACATTACGTGCATCTCGTATAGATAATGTTGCAGGATCAGTTTCTGAGCTGCTGCTTTCATAACAATATGAAATATGTACACCAGAAGAATCTTTACACAACTACAAAGTAGAAGTATTTTGTTTTCCTTTGGCTCTTAGTAAGGGCTCTTAGAATAAAAGTTGCCCCTGTTATATCAAGCAAGTCTATTTTAAATGTACATTATAGAAGGAAGTAAAGAGCATACTCCTCCACATGTAGAAAAATAAGATTATCGAGTTGCTGGAAGTAGGTGGTGATACGTTCCAAACTCTACATGAAATATCAAAAACTGCCATTTAGAGGTTTCCTCCACACAGTATCTGCCCAGTGCCGAGAACAATACCGTACCATCAGATTGTACTATGTATTATGTATTAATAACCTGTAAAAGCATATAGAAAACAGTTCTAGCTATGGTTCCAGTTAAATACTAACACCTTTAGCACTGCAGTAAGTCTAGAGCGTTGTTTCAGCATTTCGGCTACGGATATGACACTAAACAGCACTTATTGAAGGCAGGAAGAATTTGATTTGTCCAAAGAGTAATGGATAACGGATGCAGCCTAGAAGCACTTCCTAAAACTTTTGCCCTCTGGCCTCATTGTAGAGCATGAAATAGGGAAGTAAGTATAATCTTACTTAGGATGAAACTCTCTGAAAAAGGAAAGCTCCAACAATAAAACTGGTATAAATGAAAGATTGGTTAGAAACAATCAGAGTGTTTTGGTGTCAAATGACTGTGAATAAATAAATCAGTGACTCTGATGTAGAAATGCTGGATCAGTGCCAGCTCAAGGGACCTGAACTGTATCCCTAGGAAAGGGCAAATCTGGCAGTCAGTGCCACCTACTCTTACAGACAACAGCATATGTTATTATCTTTTTTTTTTTTTTCCATTTGCAGTAATTATTGTAAGATTGTGTGTAAATTCCAGAAAGACCTTCAGAAAGCGACTTTTTATGCTGAATACTGGTGCTGATGAAAGCAACTGAGCTGAATATAGCTTCTGCGTGCACTTTGTTTGTTTGTTTGTTTCTAAGGGAAGAACAGGCTACTGTTATTTTTGTAATGCTGCTCATCAGCTTGCTTTCTGAAGTAGGCCAAAGAAAACTTCTTAAGTTTTCAACAAGTTAGGACATGCCGCAACAACACTGCTGCAGACAAATAACTCCATGCAAACGCTTAGATTCCCTTTTAAAGGGAAGCGTGTTCTGGTAACATCTTTGCTCTCAGGTAACATCTTTGCTCACAGGCCTCACAGCTGTCCTCTAAGAAATGTATATCTTAGGCATTCTGCTCTTCTTGTGCACTCTAAACTCTTGCTGAAGTGAGACAAAACTTGCTCGCTTCACTCATAGCAGGATTTACTTACACCAATGAGGCAAAATGAATGTAATCCAAAGTTCTGGCTGAGCTCAAAGGGCAGGAGAACGCCCTGTCTAATTTCATTTTATTTTGCTTTGCAAGGATGCCAGAGTATGTTTTATCCTCCAACAGAAGAAAGGAAGAAAGGGTAAAGAAAGCAAAGGGCTCAACTATAGGTAAACAAAATTAAACCAACCTGCTTCTTGTAGATACCTGCTTCTGGTACTTGCTGTACTAGATTATCGATAGGGTTATACAGAATCCTGTTTTTTTAAGATGCTTTGCATTTGGTTAAAATGATGACCTACCTACCTAATTGCATTATCTTAATGTTACATGACACGAGAACCTTCTTAACCAAATGTTGATTTACAGTTCTTCGCTGTTAAATCAACTGGGGTGTATATTGGCCACCACCCTTCAGTCTGCCTCCAGCTGAGCTGAAACCCCTATGGGATAAGCCCCCACAGCCAGCTTCTGCTCTCTCCAAATAGCTGTTTACAGATTTCTTTCCAAAGTGGATGTACTAGATGCATTTGGACAGCCTAACTTACGTATTTTGTATGGTTTGCATTATTGATCATCACCACCTTTAAAACAGAGGTAGCTGTAAATGACACTGGTAATGAAACGAGCACAAGCATTGATTATCCAGGAAATTCTAAGTTATGATGAATAGCAGTTTTTAATAAAGTTCTCTCAAAGAAAATATAGGAATAAAATATGTAGAAAAGTAAAGCTGATATATTACCTGAAAGTGATTCATCAGTATGGTTTTGCGTGTCTTTGTTTTCTGGCTACAAAGCAGAGAATAAATATAAATCAAAACAACATATTCGAACATCAGGATAACTATTTGGCTAATTTATAAGTGGCAGGAGATTACTTAGAAAAATCCCAAGCTACCTGTCAGACAGGGAACATATCTGGTATAAGAAATTACAGACAATCTGCAGACTTTTCAGGCAGCATTTTTATGATTTTGTCTCACAAAACAGCCTGGATTGTTTTATCTACTGAAGAATGTCATCCTTATTAATCATATGCTATGGGGTTACATCTTTTGAACAATATGCTCCTACTCCCTCTTTCCTCCTGTCCACATTTTTCACTTTTGTTTAGTTTTCCTTATTTGACTGTTGTTAACACCAATTACAGCCCTTGCTGTTTGAAAAATTAGTCTGGGCACTTACCAATTCTTACAAGGTGACCTTGCTGCACACAGTCATGAAATACTACTCATACTGTACACTTGAAAAATAGCTTTTTTTTTTTTTTGCTGACATACGTACAAAGCTGTTCAATAATTCATGTAGTTTGATTAAAAAGATTTAAAAGTTTTATAACAAGAAACCTGAGACCTTTGCCTGTAACATGCAACAGTAAGGGAATGCTTCATTGATCTTGTATAAGTGGAGAAGCTCTTTAACAAACTTCTTTACATATATAGAATTTTTTTCTGGACAGCAGGTGGGCTTGAACATTTCTGCTGGCTCACATCTAACCGTCCTCCTGTTTGAAGCAAACATTCCCTCAGGGGCTTTTTGTCCACAAATTAAACACAGCAAAAATACTCAGCAGCTTGAGACTGCAACACACGTTTTAACACTTCAGTTCTTCTATATAGAAACCAACATCTAAAAACTGGAAGGCCAGCACCTTGATCCTAGGACTGTAGGAAACTGCAGCTGCCCGTACTTAAACTATGCGGGTGTGGAACCAGATGAAATAGCTTTCTTCTATTGAGGATTTAAAGATGAAAGCAGAAGGGGATTTTCCCCTTAGATAACTGCAATAAAGCATTTTGATTTTTGTATTGCATCATTCTTTCAAAACTATCACAGCAAGCTTCTTAGCGTTTTGCAAGCTGGGCATGCAAACACAAGACCACTGTGTAACACCAGTCTATTCCTACCTACTAAATCTTCTGTACTAAGAAATCCACTAAGAATATAGGTAATTTCAGCTGATGTAGAGAAACATACATATATACAGAATCCAATGATCAAGAAGGCATGTTATCCCCAAAATATTTAAAGACTTTGTCAGGAAAGGAAAAACGTGCATGTTGTTTTCAGCATTTCTCTTCCCTGGAAACTGCAAGGACATGTGTACAACATCAAATCATCCCACAATGACTGATTTCTGCTCAGAAGAGATCTGAGGTTGCACATGTTGCTTGCTACAGCATCATCCTTGCCATTATCTTCTAGAAGTCTGCTTTTCCAGTGACACCACATAAGCTTTCCATGGCCAGAGGTTTTAAATTTATGATCTTGGCCTTTTTGCCACGTGAGCACCCAAAGTTCAAGAAAAATTTGATACGAAAATCCCAATTATAGCCATTGTCTCCATTTCCTCTAATTCTTTAAAAGTAGAACAGTATTGAGTCTTGAGGAGCAAATCCCCATAAAGGTAAGTTACTGGGAGAACAAGCAGTTGCCCATCACAGATCAGCCTTCTCAGCTCTCTGTTTAAAGAGGAACAAACAAAAACAAAGGGAAAAAAAAAAAAAGGAAAAGTGGTAGGTATTTTTCACTTAGTTTACGATAGCTCAGTTGCTGTTCTGAGCTTCAAGAACTTTTTCCAGACTATGAATTCATGCAGGTTCCAAGTTCATGGTGAAAGCTAATACCTAAATGCCTCTTGGAGATGTCATTATACTCATGTCTCATGACAAAAATAACAGGAGTGGCTAGTACTGCAGCAAGTACAAAGAAATACTTTGGATACTTACCTGTGCCATTCTTATGTTTCCAAAATTGGTATTTGTACTGATCAGTTACTATCCACTTTTGTCAAGCCAAATGCACTCAGGTTTACTCATGATTATTATCTTGTAATATAATTGCAATAAGACCATGTATTGTCACTGTCCATAAAATGAAAGTATTAGGCTAGAGTATTTTTTGCCTACAATTAAAACTCAATCAACTTCTACAGGCTTAATCAAAGCTATAAGCCTATGTACAGTCTGAAGGTAAGCAGAATTTTTTCCAGCTCTGTAGAACTATTAATAGCCTAGTATGCTGAATTATCTTTATAGTAACTCTAAGTGGGCAACAAATGCTCTCTTCTTGATGATGGGAATGAAACAGTTACCTCCATCATCTGTGAAATGCATACCAAACCCATGTTTGTTTGATGAAAGTCAGCTGGGACTCTGGCATAAGGAACTCCTTTTAATTCTTCTTCTCGCTGGGCATTGCTCATTCATTTCTCTTCTCCAAGTTTTCTGCTCAACCCAAAGAGAATCAATTTGAAATTCAGCAAATAACATTCACCTGAAAGATGGTAACCATGGAGCATCACGGTAACCACGGGGGTCACTCAGCACTGCCTACCCTATGGCAACGTAAGACTTTACAATCTGTGGAGGTTATTTCCACTACGGATAGAGCAGTGTCCCAAAGTCAGAGCAGAACAATCAAATGCCTCCCTAGGACAAGACACAAGGAGTCCAAAACACAGGATTCAGCCTCCTTTACTTATTCTCTGCTCTGGCTCTATTTTCAGCAGGGAAGAGGGAGAGCATGCAAGACAAAGCCTTAACTCTGCCTTGGCTCTTCTTCAGAGCATCTATATGCTAATGAAAGCCTAGTTAAACTACAAAGCAAACATTAATAATTATTTAGCCTTTCTTTTACTTTTCTCCTCAAAAGCTCATTTCATTGAACTCCGGAAAAAGGAGCCTATTTCTGGTCAATTTTATTGAGTAATTCCATGCGCTCCACATACAGTCTGAAAACATATTCATTTGTTAACATTTAATTAACAGCAATAACTTAGTTTACATACATATATCATTTTTTCTTACCTGTTGGACTAGGCCAGTATCTGATGTAAGACTCCTGATGTTCACAGATGCGATTTCCAGTGTCACTTGATCTGTGAGGTATTCCTCATCTAAGACAAAGATTATGAAAAACTCGTCTTCCAACCAAATACAAACTTAAATAGTATGACTATCAAACATCCATTATATGTGTCCAGCACACAAAATTTAATTCCACATCATGATCAGTCACTAGGAGATGCAGGATCAAAAAGCCCAAACCAGTAAATTGGCAGTGACCACAAGAGTCACGCAGTCCATGACTGTGTGAAGAAAAACAACCCTTGCAGAGATCAAAAAATTAGGCAAGAGTATTAGGCTATAAGCCTAGTGTATTAGTGTTTAAAAAACAATCGCCATGCTGTATTTTGAGGCAAGAGTTATATTCTTTCAGAAAGCTGACCAGGAATAGTACCAAGAGAATATTAACTGAGCCAATACATCAAAGCAGACTTAAGAAGACTTCCAAGTCAGTATCATCCTTTTTGCTTTGCTTTTCTCATCACCAGTGTAATGATCACTGTTGAAATATGTACTACATAAACGTTATTTTTTCTTCTGCCCCTTTGTGAATTAGGCTCATCATACTTATCCCTACTACGCAGGAGTTTCCTGAAACACTAAAATAATCTGTTTCAAAGTGCATTTATCACCTGCCTTGGTAGTCCATTGAAAAACACAACATTCCTCAATACTACACAAACTGATTACCTTTCAAGCTTCACTTCAGCACTCAAATTGGGATACAAGGGATGCATAAACCTTCTATGAACCTCATGAAAACATATACTTTCACTCTCTGTGATTAATAAGGGCCTCGTTATCAAACCATCTGCACAAATCCCATGGGTCAGGTGCTGACTAACCATTAACAGGAGCTTGAAAGAGGTTATATTCTACACATATCTTAATTCTCCATAGTGGAGACTGCATCTGTATACATTTCTTCTTGCTGTTTAAGAGGTATGATCTCATGGAAGTACTGCTATTACTTTTATGAATTGTCAGGTAACAGAAAGAAGACGTATTTCCTTATCTCACTCAAGAAATTCATCTGAATCAAAGAAGTCAACCTTACACTTGTGAGAAAAAAAAAAAAGAAACACTGGTTCTCCTCTTTTTTTTCTTTTATACGACTGTTGAAATTAAAAGCCAAATAGCATTCCACTGCCAGCAGGGTAAATGTTTAATAAGCACCACCTTTTTTCTTCACAACCATAGGTCTAGAGAGAAGGAACAAAATTCCCCAAAAGGCTGGTTGAAGAAGCTAACTATTGGCATCAAAATTCCACTTTGTTTGTGTGGAAACACTACGTGCCAAATTTGTTCAGGATTTGAGTGGAAGAAGAATTATAGTCAAAGCATAACATAAACATTAAGCCTAATTCTGCAAGATGAGAAGGTCACTCAACTCACCTTTAATTCATCATCAGTAGAGGGTGCTAAGACCTTGGGTAAGTTTGGTCCCCAAATGGTCCCTTGACTGAGTAAAAAAGGAACAAAACTGTCCCCCCCACTCCTCAAGGCCAACGTACTGTTTATTCAACCATTAAATGTGAAGCAAACAGGATTTTGTGTTACACAGAATCAAGCCTGCACATCTGTGATATTTTTTAGCACACAGGCTAATATTTCTCAGTCTTTATTCTTATAGAAATAGTTATGAAAATACTTTCTCATTGAGCAAACTGAGAAAGAATCACTGATACTACTATATAGCACTGATGTCATACAAGTTTCAAAATTCATGGTAAAGAAGACATACTTTGAAAAATAAAGTCAAGAAAAAAAAATAATTAAGGAAAAATAGATTCCGGAAATGAACAGAGTATTAAGAGGTATTTTTAACACTTCCTACTCTAAAGAGGAAATATCAAGCTATATTAGTACTCACATCTATTTAAGCTATGTTAGTATTTACATCTCTTTACACTTGGCAAGAGCGTAAATTAAAAAACTATAAATACACCAAGTCCATCTCCTTCCTACAAAAAGCACTGAAGTTTCCACTCCCTTTCAGCTTTCCTTTTTAAATTAGATGCATTTACAACACACAATGTTGGATTTTAAACAAGTATGGCAATATTAGAAATTTAGAAATTTATCTAATTAATTCTGAGGGGGACCTAATGTCATGGTGGAATTAAGAATATGTCACGGAAAAGAAGATTACAGAGAAATTTATTTAATGTTAGTGAAAAGTTTTGAAGGAACAAACCACACCTAACTGCAATTAAACAGGAAGTAGCTTATAATTTCAAATTAGTTTTCATCCCACATTCTACTTCTCCACTGAGCTCTTTGAGATGCTTGTTTTCTCTGGCTGGCTCCCTTAAGACCCCAAAATAGCCCTCTAACCTTTCTTTAACCCCAATGGTATATTGCCCACGCTTCTCAGCAGTTTCCATTGTGACTAGCTTCTGCCTTGTTTCTTGTGTCTGCCCCAGCACAGACGTGCTGTGCAATGAAGTATGCAGAACACTTCAGCTGCACAGTGATCAGTAAATGCGATCCAGCCAATGGCAAAGACAGGGATAACAAAAAACAACACATCACGTGTCAAGGAATCTATAAAAGGGATATTGACACAGTCTAAAGTATTTGACTTGAGCGCAATACAGAACCTGCACAGGATGTGAAGGTTCCAGACTGGATGGTATTCATACCTGCTGCTCAAGGTAAAAAGTGGCATAAAGAGTTAACTGGTTATAGGGCTGGGGATGCAATTGGAAGCAAGAGAACTGCAAGGTATTTCTGGATTACATTTCCAATAATCTGAAGGCACTGGTAATCTCTTCAAAGCCATGTTTTAACATTATTGTATCTCTACCCTCTGTTCTCTGAACACCGTGTTTTTGGTGGCACCACTATATTTTCCTTGCATGTTGAATCCCGATCTTCTTAAGATAGTTGTGACTTTTAGATCACAACCAAGTGGGGCAGAAAAATTCAGAACCTATAATATATACCCCGCTAATCTTAAAATATAGAAGATGACACATTACATTTAGAATATAAATGTCTAGGAAAAAATAAGAGTATTTCAATCCTCTGGATAACACTGATGATGTTAGTGTGTATAACAACACAGATCTACGACACATAACCTAAAAGACAAAATTCATACTGCTTACCTTTAGGTACTCCTGTGTCTTGGACAGGATACTTTTCAGTCTGTCACAAAAAGGCAAGAGACACAAATGTTTGTTATCTTGAATGTAATTCTGCTGCAGAAACAGCATATAAAAACTGCATAATTATAGTTGCATCTCTAAAATTGCTACTAGCTGATCTATCTACAGTCAGATGGAGTAATGTGCTTCTTATGCAGAAATTGAGATACTACCACTGCTACTGATCACTGCATGCAAAAGTAATAGCTTTCAGGTTTGCTACAGTATTTTTAAAGGTATTACAGTTCAGTGAAGAAGCAGAGATTGGAAAAGGAGTTTTGCATTTAAGCAACAAGATAGCAATCTAGGAAAGATAATGCAAATGAAGAGTAACAGAGACTATTTCAAAAGCTCTTTAACAGATATAAACCTCTATTAAAATGTTACTGCACTGAAGGAAAAAGAATCTCATTCCCTTCTGCTCTAAAATTAGAAAGATTATTAAGATGCAAAAGAAAACTATTGTTTCTGAGTCTAAGGAGATAGCTACTGATTTCCAGGCATCTGTTATAACTTGCTACTAAGCCTAAAATCCACCTCCTTCCCTGTGACCCCTATCTTTACATAAAAATAGGTGAAACGTTTCATAGAACTTGATAACCAAGCATTCAGATTAAAGACATATTAATTTAAGGGGGTAGGGATAAACAAACTTTCATCTGTTTTCAAACTTTTCCCCACCTTTTAAATATTCCCCTTAACAAAAATAAAATAAAAATAAAAAAACAGCTTTAACTTAGTCAACCCACAAAACTGGTCACAAAAGCCTGTATATTTTGCAAAAGCTTGCTAATACACATCCATGCACACAGACTGCAATAATGGATCCCAGGGAAGGATCAGCATTTAAAGCACCAGTGAAATTTTCAAAGTTTCTTGCTGATTCCCTGCTGAAAAGCTTCAAAATGAGAAGAAAGCACCAAGGGAAAGCAATAGCTTGTTCAGTCATCAACCATAAAATAAACCAGAACATTTGAATCTGTTTATATAACTCCATTAGAGAACAGTCTTCTCTTGGGTACACAGCGCTGTTACTCAGAGGAAGTAATCCATAGCAACTTCAGAAAGAACTCCTCTTACAAAACTTTTCAGAATTTCATACTCCCTTTACCTGATGTAGTCCTTGTTCCAGCATAACATTGCTGGAACGACAGCTTATAATGCGACAAAGGTTTGTCATAAATGGTGTTACTATGCAAGCAAGCACTAGGGAGCACTGTTTGGTCTCTCCCTAGATTTACCCACGTCTGCTGTAAGGCACCAGCTTTTGGTTTAATCTTTCCATCACCTGAACTCATCAGACAAAATAGGTACAGGAAGGAATAACAGCTTAATACAATTTACATTTTAAGCCTTAGCTGGGTTTTCTTCCAATCCATATAGACAGAAGAAGGCCAGCACCAATCTTTCTCTTCTTTTATTAAATGAAAAAAATGGTAGTCATAGCCTCTCTAAAGGCTAACCAATGGACAGCTCAGCTCATACCACCAAACTCAGCTCATACACCTATTCCCATTTTTTTAATTCACATTTTAAATGTACAGGGTTAGTAAGTTAACACAATTATACAGGTAAGCAAAACCCTATATATATATATATATATATACACACATACACATGGTTAGAGTTTCTTAAATATTTTACTAATTTCTGCATTGCAAAACTGTAGAGAACTATAATGATTTTAACTTTGTTAGAGCAGAAACACATACCATTGTTATGGAAAGAGTGCTTGGATCTGTATCCTCTACTGGCTCTTTTGCTCCGTGATCTGCTGGAAATAAGTAAGATTTATCAATGCATAATCCTCAAAATATTTCTGTCTGGAAATTCATATTTTGCTTATTTGTCTGACCAAGGCAAAGCATAGCTACACTGCCATTACACGCATTATGTCAAGCTTCATTTACACAAGAAAACATGACAAAGTAGAAAACGTCACACATACTAGCACAGGGATGAGAAACTACGTGCAACAGGGAAATCCAACTCAAAGCTAACAAAAGATAGACTGAAATGAAAATTCCAAATTATTTTTAGTAAAAATAAATAAATAATTCACAAGGCAATTCAGCAGTAAAGAGTTAAACCCAACAAATCTGCTAAAAGGTAAGTTTCATTCTCCAAGTGGTAGCACTCCATTTTTTTCCTTAAAGGGATAATTCAAACAGTAAACATATCCACTGCCCCATTTGAGGTAAACATCAATTATTTTTATACAATTGAATCATAAACTTCAATTATATTAACATCAAAAGCATATAAAAATAAATCTTCAAAGCACTTGCAGGTGAATCATTAACTGTCAACCCCTCTACACTGATGTCTAAATTGACAAATAATAGCGAAATAGTGACCAAAAGCACAGAGAGAACCTGAAACAAATCTCATACACAAGCCAGGATTCACAACAGCACTCCTTCATTTAGCACCTTCATCTCCTTCCCTTACAGAAGATCTGTTCTGTTGCTAAGTATCATGTTTTCAAAAACTATGAAAAGCATTTTAAGTAATGTAATAGGATTTTCACTCAATTTTTGTCACTCTCACTCCTATACTCACCACAGTGCTTTCAGCCTCAACCAGAAAGATGTGTTTTAGGTCAACATTCAGTGATCATCTTTTTCATCTCACAAACACAGAAATTAAAATGCACAGTATAAACACTGAGCCCCCAAATAGCACTGAAGTTACACAGACCCTATTTTAACTCAAATTTAGCAGTTCCACAAGTCTAGAGCACATCCTCTGCACACAAGTGTTAAACATTTTTAAAAGCCATTTTTAAAAGGCATCTATTAAATCTCCTATGAGCACGCTGCAGCACAAAGTTTAGCATGCAAAACACATGCAGAAGAGGAAACCAAACCAAACCAAAATGCCATACTCCTATCACACATGCCCTGTTACGGATTAAGTCCCTGCTCCAGCAGCATGGCATCAACACATCGCTCTGCATGAAGCCTGCCCTGATGGCAGGGGCCAGCACAAACAGCCATAAGCTTCCCACGTTGAATGTAGGGAGGGTGAGAGTCAGACTGGGACAGGAGTCAGACAATAAGCTGAAGTAAGGTGCTGCTGGAGTTGGGCCAAAAGCAGAGGATTCAGGTGGGAACTGTGTGCTGGGGAGCTGTGGAGGATGCTAAGGAAAAGAGAACAGCTGAGAGACCCACCCTGAAAAGGGGAATGGAAAAAGGCATGGGGGCATGGAGAGCCAAGCAAAGCCAAAGACATCCGAAGTCTCACTGTTCCTTCTACTGTCTGTGAAGACCCAACAAGTCCCTTATCATCAGTTTACTCTGGAGGCTTCACAGCTAGCTATTCCTTACAAGTTTTTGGATGAAATTAAAAAGAAAAAAAAAAAAGCCTGTAATCAAAAGACACTTTCTTTTGCCCTCATAATTTAAGGGGAACCTTAATGTAGATGGAAGCAGACTCCCCGAAAGGTCAATGCCCTGGTGAACCTCAGTGGCTCCTGTAACTACAGAAATCTTCCTTCCCTATCTGCCATTGCACCTCTGAGATACAGCCAAGGTAGACTGCAACACCACTAAATATTACTTTCCACGATTCAGAGGGAAGCACTGAGCGAATGGGTGAAGGTTTGAGAATACAGGGCTTTGGAATGAGGCCCTGGCAGACCCTAGGGTGACCCTACAAGAGGTGATAAGGTGCTGGGTGGTGCCTTTAACTCCTGCTTCCTCGGGCTCACTCAGAAACACACCAAGTGCAAAACTAACTTGCACCTTTCTTGCTTATCCATCTTGGAAAATATTTTAAAAACTGTATTGCTTTCCCTATGACTCAATTCCTTCCCTCTTGTTTTTCTAGCTCTTTATGAAGAACTCCAAGTTCCCTGTTTTTTTTTTTAGGTTGCAGAGCACTACCAGTTTCCAACATTTTCTACAGGTGGCATGAACACGTATGAGGATTTGTACCTACGAATAAATGCTCTGTATGCTGGCTGCAGGTGAGTCACCACGGTCTTGTTGACCACTGGTAGTTGGTGGATAATTAGAGAACCACAGACTTAATGTTTAATTGTGAGTAAGGCAATTAAAATGCCGTGTCCCCTCTCTCCTTCCCACACTTATCTCCAACAGTAGTCTGCAACTCATTTCATACAGCTAGATGCAGGTGCACAGAACAGCAGGGAGGAAAGTTCTCTGTTTATCTCAAATGTAAAACATCCATGGTTTTGCATGTTGAAAGGCTGACAAGAAATACAGATTATCAGCTGACTGTATCAGCAGGCCACCTGATTTCAGTTACCTTGACAACTTAATAACGTCATTTTCTGGGATCCTTCAAAAAAATCACTATCACCATTCTCCCCGCTGACAGCATTCAGCCACTGGTGTGCATTTACCTCCCCACAATTCACACGTAAATCAACCCAGATGCACACAGGTCAGGTTCAGCGGTTGCTCCCAGCACCTGATGCCAGCTGCACAGCAGCTGTCGGGGCTCTTCTGCCCGAGCCCGTCCAGCACAAGCAGCCTACAACGGGAGCAGCCAGCTTGTGCCTGTCAGCACGGTTTGTTCAGTACTGCTACCCTAACAGGGACGCAGCGCTGTGCACTGAGAGTGGTGTGAACAGCGTGTCAGTTTTATTCACACACCTGCAAATTTCCAACCCTATGTCTGCTCTTTGTCTGCACATGGGAAGGAAGCCTGAAGGCAAGTTTCTGAGACCCTAGAGCAGAAAGAGGCTCACAAAGCACCACATAGTGGATACAACATTCCCCTGCTACGTTTTTTTCCCTGCAACGTAACCTGGACACCACCAGCAGCAAGCGAAGAACGTTAAGGCCTACCTTCGTTCTGTAAGCCAACCATACCCAAGGAAGATTTCTTCCACACCAACACAGGACATACACATCCAAAGTACAACTCAAACAAAGTGATCACCCCAGCTTGAGATGAGCCCTTTGATTAAACACAAATCAACAACCGCGTTTTGACAGCAAGCACGTTAATTTCAGATTTGAGTAAGAAAAGGAAAGACAGCAAGTCATATTAGAATATTCAGTTCTCTGAAAAAAATCTAAAGCGTGCGCAGCAAGCTTGTAAGCTGGAGCGTTTTTGTTTACCCGTAACTACTCAAAACTCTGTTGCTGCATGAGCGGACAGGTAAGTTAAAACGGGCAGGCCTGAGAAAAGGCATGAGACACCTGAGAGAAAGCACTCCGAATTGCAAGTGCCATTAGCCATGCAAGTTAAGAAGCGTTGCCTTGCTAACCACCCACTTTGGGATCTCAAAAAAAAAAAAAAAAAAAAAAGAGAGAGAGAGAGAAAGATAAAGAAAGGCTTTTTAAGGCGCTGCTAGCAAGCCCGACTAACACCCTAAACGCCGGCGCAGGCTTGACAAGACAAGTTGCACTCAATCACACCAGCGCGGCCCATGAGAAATTATTCCCGAGCTTAATGAGCGTGCGTGGGGGGAAGGGAGCAGCCGACAGCCCCTCGGCTTTTTGCTTTTTCAATCCCCGCCGGGCCGGGCTCCCCTCGGGGCTGCGGAGCGCGGCGGTGCCCGGCTCTGGGCACGGCACGGCACGGCCCGAGCCTCGCTCCGCGGCCCGCAGCGCCCGCGGCGACGCCGAGCGGCCGCAGGGGCAGGGAGCGGCCGCGGGGGGGCCGCCGGCGCCCGCCCCAGCCCGCCCCGCTCCCGTCCCGTCCGCGCCGTCGCTGCTCACCCGGCGGCAGCGGGTCCCGCGGCGCGGCCATGGGGGCGCAGCACGAGGAGCGAGCGGCGCCCGCCGACGTGCCCGGAACCGCCGCCCCGCGCCGCGCCGCCCCCTTCCTGCCGCAGGTAGGCGCCGGGCGGCCCGGGAGGCGCTCGGAGGAGGAGCGGGGAGACCCCGGCTCGCCGGGACGGGGCCGAGGAGCCCCGGCACAGAGCGCGCCGGGTCGGGCGGGCAGCCGGAGGCCGGCCTCTTGCCCCGCGGGCGCCTCCGATACCCGGCTGATGCCCAGTGCTTTGATGGCAGCGCTTTAGGTCCCCACCGCCACCGCTGCCACATTCTCTCGCTTAGGGCTTCACTACGCTTACAGTAATACAAATTGCTTAAGTGGGGTCCATGCATAAAATTAGGTTCTAAGAAAGATCACGTAGTTCAATACTGTGCAATGCACACAAAATAAACCAGCAAATCTGACCGCATTGGTCAGCATGCCATTATGCAGGCTACTTGTGCATCCTAGCTACCTTCCTGTTATCAGGGAGGTCACTTCACAGGTGAATCACAGAACCATCAGGGTTGGAAAAGCCCTCCAAACTCACCTGGTCCAACCATCACCCAACCACCAATCCCACCCCACTAACCGTGTCCCCAAGCACCACGGCCAGCCTTTCCTTGAACACCCCCAGGGACAGTGACGCCACCACCTACCCGTGCAACCCGTCCCAGTGCCTGACTGCTCTTCCTGAGGAGAAATGTCTCCTCATTGCCAACCTGAACCTCCCCTGGCGCAACTCGAGGCCATTCCTTCTGGTCCTGTCACTGGTTACCTGTGAGAGGAGGCCTGCCCCCAGCTCCCCACACCTTCCTTTCAGGTACCTGCAGAGAGCAATGAGGTCTGCCCTGAGCCTCCTCTTCTCCAGACTAAACACCCGCAGTTCCCTCAGCCGCTCCTCACAGGATTTGTGCTCCAGGCCCTTCACCAGTTTTGTTGCTCTTTTCTGGACAGTCTCCAGGGCCTCAATGTTCTTGTAGTGAGGGGCCAAAACTGAACACAGTACTCAAGGTGCAGCCTCAATAGAGCAGAATTTCA